AATACAGTTACTCATATTTTGTATTCTAAATACGTAACGGCGGCACATGTACTCCGTTACTCCCCAACACTGGCGATATGTCAGAATTTTCAGTAGAATATCTGGATGATGTGGTGGTGTACAGTTGGGACTGGGAAGAGTAAATAAATCCTACAACATAAAGCCTCTTGGGTTGGGCATCAGCCCTCGCCGCTGCACAGGTACCCATAGAGTACCTGAGCTTTGTTGTTAGTTAGGCAGGGTCGAGCTACAAGCTGGGAAAATGGATGCTATCCAGTCCTTTCCTGTTCCACTGAGAGGAAGGGTGAGCTGAAAGGCTTCATATGCCTGGTTGGGTGGTACAGAAAATGTACCCCCCCATTTGCAGAGAGTTGAGTGACTTCACCAAGAATTTAGCCCCTAACAAGGTACTAAGGTAATGGAGAAATGCACCAGAGCATTCAGAGATCCAGGCTGTTCTCCACAGCATTCATCGAGCCATTCATCCTGCAGAGATGCGGTCCTCCTACAAAGAGGGAGGCCAGTGTTATTCCTCTGTTGAAAGATGTTGGGCAGAGAGGTGAGGTACTTGATGGTAGAAATGAGTGTTTGGCAATGAAGTGGCATTTGAATCCTTCAGATATCATCTCTGCTTTGATGCCACTTCCTCATGGAGACTGATCATCACGCCCCCCAGTGGCTGTCTCATGTGGTGGCTGACTGACTGACTAGAAAAACTGAGTAGTGAAATCTTTATCCCTGCTGTAGTGAGAGGAGGTAATGAAAATGTATTCCATTACTGCTTTGCTGCATTTTGTTTTAGGTAATAACATTTTCTGGGCACAGCTGCACTTTAGGAAAACGTTTGCACATTAAGAAGCACAAACCCAGACGTCAGAACACGTGTGGGCTTGTATGGTTATATGATCTTAAAGTAAATAATATATTTGTGGGTGATGATGGTGACAGTTTTAATAGCAGGCTATAACAGAAAAAATGTTACATGGCTTAACTGTCAAATTAAGTAAACTAAAATTTATTCAAATTTCATTTGTAAATTAAATGTTTGATAAATAAAAATAACTAAAGTTGGTTGGCACCAAGTCCTGCCTCTGCCTGGCATGATTGGTCACTCGGGTCCAATCAAACAGCTCAGCAGCTTTCTGTGGTGGGGACCCTTTTGCTGCGTAATTTGCAGTTTTCTGCACAGCGCAGCCCCTCGTTTAGAAACGAGCTTGTCGATGTGTTTGGCTGGTCTTTCTGTGGTGCCGCGGTGACTGTTGCTAACAGTCATCTAAAACAATGAAGAAATATTGCAGTAAATGGCGTTTTACGACAGCAAGAAATAAAAGCGAGACTGTATTATGAAACGATACATTTTTCTATATTGTCATCCGATATATTTCGGCATATCACACAGCCCTAAGCAGGAGTGGAGCACAATACCTGAAATTTTGGAGTGGATTTACTTGACATGCTTTAAAAAAAAAAAAAAAAAAGGTAAAACTTCACAAAACGCTCACAATCCTATCTGCAGTGTTGTATCGGTGTGTTAGTCTGAGCCATCGTTTCTGTCTATATCAGATACCCTGAGACAGACCAGAAACGGATGCATGATAACAGATACACGGGATTCCAGGTCAGCTGTGTGCCACGATGACAAAAAAAAAAAAAAAAGAGGACACGTCCTGCATCCGATTAGCACAACGAGCACCGGTAATCAGCTATTTGTGCATTTAAGACTTTTTTTTGGCAATGCCATACTGTCTAGAGCTACAAACACATTTATAAAGATGCAAGACACAAATCTTACATCATATGCACGTAATGTAAAAAGAGGAATCTGACCTTCATCATATCTTTGTTTGGACACACTCCCTGGTAATGCACTGGGCACGCCCTCATAAAGGCCTTCACCCACAAAGTCTGTGTAGAAAAGCATAAAAGACATGACAGCCATCCAGCTGCAGAGCTGAGCCACGCACAGCTGCCTCATCACCCGTGGAACGTGGCAGTAGCTCCTGTAAATGGCCGGCGTCATGGACCAGCATGTCCTCAGTAAGCACATCAGGGGTCCAGACTTGAGGAGCCTCAGCTTGCACTTCAGCAGGTAGCAGCACGAGCGTGGCACGCCACACCGGCCGGCCTCCATCACACCGGTCCCCGGCTCCAGTAGAGATCCCGACTCTCCCGCGCCGCTGTTGGCACAAGAGGGTTCCTCGGACACCTTCATGGTGATTAGCACACTGGAGATGAAGATGAGGATGAGGAGGGAAAAGAGGCACTCTGCTTGGCCTCCCAAGTAAACAGAGAGGAGGCCGTGACTCCAGTCCAGTGCAGGTAGCAAATAACCCACACAGCCTCCCAAGCTCACCATGAAGGAGAACATGGCAAAGGCTTGGCTGCAGTCCTCCTCATCCCGATACAAATCTGACAGAAGAGCCTCCAGCGGTGTGAAGCAAACTTGTCCACAGAAGTCAAGGAGCCCAACACCAAGGATCAGGAAGCCCACCTGGAACACGGAGGAAACGCAAGGTTATATGGAGGACACAGTCTTCAAACGAATAAACTCTCGGGAAGAATTTACCCTTTGTCTGAAAAACTCAAATTCAAACAAACATTTCACACACCTGGAGCGTGCGGCCACCCCATGCAACGCGGGCTGCCAGGACGTCAGCGTGGGGAATAATGAAAAGCGCCAGAAGGACTCCCATCGACAACAGCCAGATGAAAGGCCGCCTCCTGCCGTAACTGCTGTTGCACTGGTCACTGGCTGAGCCGATCAGGGGGATGAACAACAGGCCAAGCACTGGCCCGATGCCTGCAGGTACAACCAGGCAAACACAGAAGTCAGAGATCATACTAACAAACCATAAGATGCAAAGACAAAGCATAAAGAAACACAGACAATGTTGGGGAAAACATGTATTCACAGATGTCGATGTGGCGGAAAAATCAAAACCAATCCCTATCAACTCAAACATGTCTTTGCCACAAACACCAGTATGGTTTAAAGATACTAGAACTGGTCGAGTGGAGCCAGATTTTTACTGGTTGCCTTAGATTCTTTGTTATTGACCTCAGGGGTGAACTGCATGCGTCTCTGCCATCATTAATGACTGCTGAGGTGACGGTTCCTACAGATGGCTCGCTGCCTGAAGGTAGCAGTCATCCTTCACACGTGGCTGGGTCTGGCTAATTAGAACACACCATGAGACGCTGGTCCACACAAGATCTAATGTGATGAGATCTCGGGGCTAGATTTTGACATTTAAGAAGGTGCCCCGTGAAGTACTCTTACATCATTTCTCATCAAAAGGAATTTCGTGCGTGCCCAGTGGCCACGCGGTCCTTCATTTAAGTGTTTACAGAACACACGAAAAATAAAAATACACAGAAGCCTGTTAATCATAAACGCTGTTCTGCAGCACCTCTAACGTGACACGTGTGTGTTAGAGTCCGGCGTAAAAGTAAAGCAGCAAATATGGGGAAGAAACTTAAGGTCAGAAAGACCCGAAAAGATCAATTCTACCACCAAAGAAACAGGTCATCGCTCTCGTTCCTCCAAACTGATCCAGCTTAACCGCAAGTTCCAGTTTCTGCAGAAAGTCTGAGCTCTGGTGGATCTGTGCCCTGCACCTGGAGGGTGGTTGCAAATAGCGTCTAAGTTTACGCTCGTTTCAAGTCTGATTATCGGTGTTGACTTGGTCCCCAGTAAGCCCATCCCCAACGTAAAGGCCATCGCCCACTGAGAAATGCAGACAGGCTCTCAGAAAGGAGCCTCAGACTTGGAAAGTGGATGTTAAACGACAGAGCCCCAAACGTGGGAACACTTTTCCCAAGTTCGCCTGACTCTAATGGCTCTGAAGTCGCCCTGTGAGTTTCTTACCAACGGTGGCACCTTTGTCTCCAAAGAGACTAACGTTCAAAAAGTAGTACAACATTGACACACAAGCAAGATCAATTTGCACTCTTTCTGCAGTTTGACAAGAAAGTGAAACATGAAGAGAATTCTTAAAAGCATGAACTGAAAGGAGCCACTTAAACTGGGAAATGGAGACAGGTAGAACAAATACGCTGCTGCCAGCGAGTCTACCCTCGATCACATTTCTCCCTCTGCAGCTGTGGAGGCCCCTCAAAACAATCCTTATCATCTACAGCTGGAAGTGTCACTGCATCACACATTCCCCACTCACTCTTACCTCTCCTAAACACAATGCAAACTCCAGTTTAGAAACACGCATGTGTGCTATGAAAAATAGCCAATACAATGAATAAAAAAGCGTCACATGTGCTCAAGTAAACGTACTTACGATTAAATGCTAAAAAGCAGAATGCTCTCTGCCCCAGTAAGAGAAACTAGAGAAAGAAAGTAATTACTGTTGGATGAAGCAACCACAAATGGCTATTAGATACAGTAGACAGCAGCCATCGGAGAACTTGACACTGCTGCTTGGGGAAATTAGCTATAAGCCTCCCAAGACACGATATCCATCTTCATTCAAATAACATCCCAGCACTCCATTATAATACAAGCATATAGGAATTAGGTTGAAAGCCATTTCCAGATTGCCTTACAGTGCAGCGTGTTTGAGAGCAACGCTACAGTGAAATCATTTTTCTTCATATCACAAGCAGCTGTTAGAGAGGTGCAAGAGTAGGAGGGGATATTGTTTTATACAGCTGAATGGCCATTTCTGTTGTGCACTCTGAGCCTTTTGTTACGGGGGAATTATATCTATCATCAGTACAGTCACAAGGCAACGTCTCAAACAGACGCCTGCAGTGAGGACCACGGGAATGCCATTTGCACTTACAGGATAAAGCAACTATTCATATTAGCACACAGTACAAATGCTAACAGTCCAATCAGACAGGTAAAGTGAATAACAGTGATCGTCTCCTTTTCCTCAGTGGGGATGTTACTTTGTCACGTACGACCCACCGAAACGCTGCTGCAGACCAAAGGTCATGAACTCGTTTTTAGTTCGTAGTCCACATGTCGAACAATTTCAACTAAAGTGGGCCTTCCCTGTAAGCGCAGTCACCGAACCGGCTCATTAATGCAAATATCCAAATAGCCAATGCCATGGCAGCAACTCATAGTATTTAGGCATATACAGATGGTCAACATGGTATGCAGGCAACCCGCTGAAGTTCAAATCACCAAAACTGGACAACAGAAGATTGGGAAAATGTTGTATTGACTTCTGCCTGAATTTGGCGTCAACAACATTAAAGCACAGATACATGGAGCCTTGTATCAACAGTGCCGTTGGTGTAATGGTCTGAGTATTGCTGGTGACCCTGTCTACACCGACTACATCCTCTGATGGTTTCCAGCAGGATGAAGCAGCATCCCGCAAAGCTCAGACATCTCAAACTGGTTTCTTAAACATGACAACGAGTTCACTGCACTCCAATGGCCTCCACAGCCATCAGATGCCAATCCAATAGAGTATCCTTTGGGATGTAGTAACGCAGGGGATTTGGTCCATTTCAGCTTCACCACCTTTGGCTGAAGCTTCCAACGATTCAGGCTACGTCCACACTAATGCGTTTGCATTTGAAAACGCATCGTTTTCTCTCCGTTTTGGCCTCCCGTCCACGCTGAGACGGCGTTTTCGCTCAAGGAAAACGCAGCATTTTGAAAATGCATACATTTGAAAACAGTTGCAGTGTGGACAGCGAAAACAGAGACTATCGAAAACGATGACGCATGTTAGTCATGTGATGCAGTCATGTGACCAATTAAACAAAGATAGCAGAGGGCGTTATACAGCAGTTGTTTAGCCCTATTAAAGATTAATATCAGTCTGCACGCGCTCCAGATAGCTTTTCTTCAAATTCTTTAATTCTCACTCGCTTTTGCAACTTTGTACTTTTGTGTTACTCGCAGCAACAACTCCACCTCATTGTGAGTCCATTTAACAAACTCTGTGCTTTTCCTCGACATTCTGCCGCGACGTTTCAAAGAGCCGGAAAGTAAATAAGCAGCAGACAGAAATGAGGCAGGTCGCATCTTCTTGCATTTCACGCATGCGCAGGACTGGAACGTCAGCGTTTTCGGCCTTTTCAATGGGGACGCACAACTCTGAAAACGACTGAAAATGCTAGTGTGGAGCGTTTTCAGACATAAACACAGTTGTGAAATCTATCCGTGCTGGTGTGGACGCAGCCTCAGACCTGTGAATAAATGTATTCATTTGAAGAACTCCTCAAAGGGTAGTGCTAACGATCTCAGGGACTGATTACCAACCGGCTGCCAATCAAGGTGAACTTTTAGCTCGTGTTCCAAGAATAAGAGAATGCTTCAAATCAAATTATCGTTAATAATAGATCCACATTAAATGTAATTTGCCTCATTATAACTTAATAATAGCATCTTGACATTCACCCAACACAGCTGAAACACCTCTGCACCCTTTTGGAAAGAACGCGTTTGTGTGAAGAGCGGTTACATCCATTACCGTCAAATGACAAGCATGTCATCACTGTTTATTAGTTTGATTTCCAAATGAGTGTGAGCTGAAGAAACTGCGGGTTTGGAGAAATGGCCTTTGTCTACCACTCTGCACTACTGAGCCGTTGCCATCACGCCTCACACCAGAAACGGTATCGGTTATAGGCAATAAGATCATCGAACCCTACACTCGTGACACAACCTATTAATTACTTTCAATGAAATCAGTCCCGGTGGGGAAATTCCTGCTCTCCATACATTTTGCAGGTCCAGTGGGCATTTTGGAAACCTGTGGTGGGAAGGTCCTTACACACCGGCGTGAGCAAATAAGCCTCAAATACATACAGCACCAGAGGCAAAGCCAATTATGCTTTAGTGAATTGCAGTGTTCGTCAAGTTACTTGAAAAAAAGTAATCAGTAACTAATTACTGATTACTTTTGAAAATAAGTAATCCCATTCCTTTACTGATTACTTATTTTCAAAAGTAAGTTAATTAGTTACTTTTTAAAAACACGATTTACAACCTGAATAGGTAACAAAGCGATAGATCTTTAAACCCAATTCTATTTTCTACATAATCCATCATACAAAATGTAATCAAATGGAAAAAGCCTTTTTTTTTTAACTTGTTTTATTAGTTTTAATCTTTTAACTTTATGCATCAAGCAAAGATTAAATTATCTGCAACATTCTCTGACTGGAAGAAATTAGTTTAACATTTAAACCTATTTTCTGCACATTCCAGCACATAAAATAAAATGGTTTTTGTGTTTACACTCAGTCTTTCAAATAGATGCAAGTAAAACACAGCAGAAAATAAATAAAATCAGCAGCCCTGTTGTTCTATTTTCACCTGTTTAGCAGGAGTGGGGCAGGCGGATGTTTGCCGTGGTGCAGGTGTGCCGCAGCGATCAGTGGAAGGATCTGGGAGTTTCTCATTCCCCTGGTAGCGCACTCGGTGCTTGCTTTCTTCCCACGCACAGCGGACACTAATGTTTTTGTCACTTTGTATGGAATCAAACTCAAAGTAAGGTCAGTACTTCCACGCTTTAAACGCTGCACGCTCATACTCTCTCTGCACTCCATATATGATCCACTGTTGATCTGCACACAGCTGTTGTCACGAACGTCGCACTCGCTTACGTCACTGTCATGAGACATTCTCACAAAAAAATCACGGTTTTAGTAACGCAGTAACGCAGCGTTCCTATGGGAAAGTAACAGTAATCTAATTACCTTTTTTGCAATAGTAATCCCTTACTTTACTCGTTACTTGAAAAAAGTAATTGGATTACAGTAACGTATTACTTGTAACTTGTTACTGTATTTTCATGTAAGCAACAAAGCTGGGTTAATATGTTCACATTACAGTGGCTCCAAACACTGAAGCAGCTCTGTGTGTCTGACGGTCTGGAGGACGTGGCTCTTCCTCCCACAGTTCTCCTCCCTGCTGCCTGATTGCCACACTGACAAAACAGGTGAGTTGACCACTTACCTCCATAAAGACCTCAATTATGTTTTTATGACCTAAATGGAAGATGGCTGCCCCGACGCGTACTCGCACTCCCATGCTACACCCCCCACTGTGACACACAAATTTAGCTGCCACTGGATCTCATATACAGTGCTTCTGCAAAAATTAATGCCGATAGCTTTACACTACAGCAAAACCTACGAAATTCACAGAAACCCTGCTTTTTGTCCTTTTGATCTTCCTGCAGATGCACAAAAATTATGTTTATTAGTTTGCAACGTATAAAGTGTCACAGAATCGCTGATCAGTGTTTCCTTACAATATATCTGGGCCGAAACACCCAGGTACTATTATATAAATTATATACTATATATCATATTATAATTGGAGATAATGTGTCATTCAGAGTTAGTGGACTAGACCAGCGGTGCCCAACCCCCGGGCCACGGACCGGTACAGGTTCGTGAGTCGTTTGGTACCGGGCTGTGAAAGTTATGGTTTTCACGGTTTTTATCGCCGCTAATAAAGTTACACAATTACACAGTGAATTCGCCTTTATTATTATTATATTTACAAAATACCACAGTTTTTGTTTTGGTCGTATAATTTTATTTTTTATTATTTTTCCGCTGCACCTTAAAGGCCGGTCCATGGCGCTAAAACGGTTGGACCGCTGGGCTCGAGCACAGTCTCCTATTCGGTCCGTGCCAACCAGCCAGGCCTAGCTCAAGGCAAAAGCCAATGTTTTATACTGGTCTGTTTTTTGTGTTTGTTTGGGGTTTTTTGTCAAAGACACTCGGAAACAGGAAATGCTCATTATTAGTCACTCTGGTTCCCAGCTCTTGTGTCTAACGTATCAATTATACCATGAAACTATTATTTAAAATGCATATCGTCATTGAACCAGCCATCGAGGAGACAGACAGGACACGCAGCTGAAACCTGCAGGGTGGGCGGTCCCACCTTTGCCTTTTATTGTGTGTGTGTGAATGTGTGTGTGAATGGGTGGATGACTCGTTGTGTAAAGCGCTTTGGGGTCCTTAGGGACTAGAAAAGCGCTATACAAATACAGGCCATTTACCATTTCATGTTTAACAGAAAGAGATGAAACGACGAGAGAGCATGAATACGTGTACGAGAGTGAGGCTTAAGTGCATGCAAACACCCACACTGCGAGGTGCCAAAAAGGCCTAGTAATTAGCTTACCTAGCACCATGGTCATGTACCGCTCTTCTACTCCAGCCTCCAGCAGCAGTGGAGGAACGTATGTGATCCCAGCTGCCACACAGATCTCCAGGCCACAGGTCAGGGAGTTCAGGAGAACAAGACGCCAATGAGACCTCCATCCAGGCATATTTACAGAGGCTGGGTCGCCTTTCCTTCCCTCTGGGATGGTCACTACTGGGGGCAGGGAAGGGGGGAAGGATCTGGATAGGGACAAAGGGGGGGATGAGGGGAAGCAGATGGTGCCCCGGTTGGACCCGAGGACTGTCGCAAAGGGACAGCAGCAAAGACACTTTGATGTCTCAGATGACCTGGAGGATTCATCCTCTTCTCAGCATTCTGGATCTGAAGAGCAAAAGAAAAGTTTTCAGTGCACAGCCACATCATGACCATCGTGCAGAAATTACCAGTTTGAAAGCTGAAATAAAACCTGAGCAAAACCGATTATTCACAGGATGACACCTGTAAAGCCACAGATGTCAGTGGCTTCAGGTTACACAGGGGATTATCAGCATCCTTGTAACAGAACACAACCTCAAACAGGTTGCATTATATGTTCCAAAGACACGGAAATGGCAGCAAAAGTCAAAAAGCAATGATGGATTCTCTGAGCTCTTCACCAACAGCTTCAGGGCAGCACGAACAACAACAGGGAAAGCAGATGAGTCAGCTGGAGCAACGTGGCAAACCATTTGCTATGCAAATTACTCTGCTGTTTTCCTTGCTCGCTTTTTTCCGCCTCGTTTTAAAATATGCCAGAGATGTAGAAAAAAATTAACCATTAGCTTTTGGAAAAGTTGAATTTCTCTTTTCTTACTATCCCTCACCACGACACTTGACAGGAGCACCAGTATTAGCACCCACACCTCCCGGAGCCTACACTGTCATTATTGCATTATTGAGCTCTGATTGGAGCTTTAGTCACATATTCTGCAGATTATTGTTGAACTCAATGAGCAATAAAAGATCTTTGCTGGGCAGAAAGGATCAGGCAAGATGATCAGTCGAGTCACCTGTAACGTATACAACACGTCATCCCATCACCTAACATAACGACGACTGAGACAAATTGTCGGCACGTTACGCGTTCTGAGGCGTGAGACGGGTCAGAATGAACCTATACATGTGTTTTACATGTGACATGAAAATCAACCTAACAAATCGTCATGTATGTTAAATCTGTTCACGTCCTGATCCTGAATCACTTTGGAAAACACGATGTAGTAGCGTTAAGCTTAAGCGAATGGACAGCTGGAGTCTCTGCTTGAGCGTGCCTTAGCGCCACGAGCGGCTTTCTGTTGGATTCAACTGACAACCCAGAGCGTTTCATAAGGACTTGGAATAGCACCTTTCGCATTAGCATGTGACGCCCAGGGGCGGGGCAAATCATCAGTATGTTACGCGTTGGGAATGATAATGCTCTGACTGTATATGGCAGGGGTGTCCAACTCCAGGCCTCGAGGGCCGGTGTCCTGCAGGTTTTAGATCTCACTCTGGGTCAACACACCTGAATCAGATGTTTAGTTCATTACCAGGCCTCTGGAGAACTTGAAGACATGTCAAGGAGCTAATTTACCCATTTGAACCAGCTGTGTTGGATCAAGGACGGGTCTAAAACCTGGAGGACACCGGCCATCGAGGCCTGGCGTTCCCCAACCCCGGTATATGGGCTCAGCATGCCAGACACTACTACAGGATCCAATGTGATGCCAGATAGAGGCAGACTGACAACACCGTCATCGACAGTTTGGTCAAGTTGGTGCTTTCAGGTTCAAAAGAACAACAACTGTATCCTTATTGATCACGTTGACAGATGACCCAAACACACGTTGAAGCATACGTTCTCCAACATGTTTTTAAAAGCTGTTTAATTCTAGTCAAATCATAACAGCCTCGTGAAACTCTCACTTTCCCAATCAAACAGCATGTATTCACTCCATATACCTGAAAGTGCTCCAATCATTCACCCGAACATGCCGATAAGGCGACCAGTCTCTCAGTGTTTTGAACTGAGTCTGAAAACCAAAAGCAGAATCTTACATAAACTGAAATATCTGGAAACAGCAGAAGAGGCAGATTGATGAAAGTCCTCTAAATAGAAAACTGCCATCCATGAACATCCATGTGCAGATCGCACTGCTTCCTGGAGCAGAAAATAAACAAAAACACAACCAAGAGAAACACTGTCGTCATCATCCACCAATGAGACGGTGTGCTCTGTTAAAGCAGAGGGGCAGAGCACGAACGGTCAGAACAGCCACAACCACAAAAACAAGGCGCTATATTTGCATTTAGTGTGACATTTATCTGCCAATGCTGCCCATCTGTTCACTCCCAGCAAACAAAATGGATGTGATCATCTCAGACGAGACTCGGTGAAGCACAGATGGGTTCAGTCGGTATTTCAAGGACTTTCCACTTTGCTGGGTGGGAAAAAAAACCAAAAAACCTCTTTAAAAACAAACAACAAAACAGCTGATAAAGACATAAAATAGTGGCCAAGCCATTTTCCCCACCAGTGGCTTTTGAATAGTATAAGGTGTTAGCTAAGAGGTCCATTTAAAATCTGTGATGCCTTTCACATCATTCCAAATCAGGGACATTAACTGAATGCTATCAACACCACTGCAAGACTTCCTCAGGCATTCATACATTCCCATCTTTGTCATTATGACACTTTTGATATAGAGGCTCTCTGAGAATCTGAAGGACAATGCAACAGTGTTAGCAGGCCGGGCCGATCAGGCGCCCGGGTCACAGGGAGAGAGAGGTCCATTTCACACCCGTCAGATCTTATTCCCACCCAGCCTGGACGCACTGAAAGACACTCATCAGGGGATCAGCCTTTGCCCCTGGGCCTGTCTGGCCACTACAACCCCCTACCAACATTCTGTGTGTGTGTGTGTGTGTGTGTGTGTGGATTTCTTCCTCATCCTTCCTCTGAGGTCAGCTTTATCTTTGACCTGCATTCTAAGAGGAACCTTCTGACATCTTTATGGTTCTCGGTGTGAACGCCTTCCACCGCAGCTCCATCTGACTCTGTTAGACTGAAAAAGTGGCAAGAGTACAGAAATCTGATTTTCCCAAATGTGCGTCAGATTACAGTGTTTTGGAAATGAAACTGTGTCGAACTAAAGAAGGACTGCAAGACAGCAGTGCAGAGTGACATTCATTCATGCTCCTTAACCTCCTAGGACCTGCGTCCACCTATGTGGACATCCCATTTTGTGTTATTTAGACCAAAATACTTAATTTTGCTCTATAAGGGCCTGATGTCCACTTACGAGGACATTATGCTGCTACTGTTCTATCGAAATTTTAAACAAATATCCTCATATGTGGCTCAGGTCTTAGGAGGTTAAAGTCAAATATAAAAGATAGGGTCAGTTTATTGTAAATTGTAGCTCTACAGCTAACAAAGCATTTGTGGTGCCGTTTTAAAGCAGAACGGAGCTTTCAAGCACTCAAGTCTGCATGTTAGGGAGAGGGGACAAAGGGGACACACACACACACACACACACACACACACACACACACACACACACACACACACACACACTCCACTGCTTACTTAATGACACCTGACTCTACAATGCATTGCAGTCATGACCTTCATCTTCACGTAGCCTCGGAGACACAAAGGCACGCTTAGGCTGTTAGACAAATGACTTTCCTGCTGCTCACCTGACAAATAACACAACCGGAGCCAGACAGGTGACGGCGAGGAGATGGAGGCTGGTTTACTGTTGTCAGCTCTCCTTTTGCTCCATTACCAATTCCTATTCAGCCTCGCCCCCTCCCAACTCACAAAAATCAGCCCTAATGACTCCGAGTGGTATTCTTAGAATACAAAACAGCCTTTGTATACATTGTGCCAGGGAGAGTAATTTAATAGAGGGAGGTATTAACTCCAGACTAAATGTTTTGATGCAGGATTCTTATAGACGGTAAGATACAGGAAGCATGTTTGGGTACGAGCGGAGGGTCTCGCAGCAGATATCAAGGTTTGTAAGAGAAGAGCGGAAGGAATTGTTTTGAGATGACATCACAGCCAAAAACACAGCGGAGGCCGTGGCTGCAGAAACAGCAGGAGGCTCTGGTTGGCTGCTTGGCTCACGCTGAATGGCTGCAGCACTATAGCCGCTCTGCCTCTCCGGTTCCTGGACATTAATGGACCCAATCGTCCGCACTGAGAGACAAGCAAGACCAGTCTTTATGCAGACCGCTTGTTTGGCCAGCAAACCTTTTTCTATGGCTCTCTCTGTAAAACAAGAAAGTTAAGCTGGACCTTTACTTGGTCCTGGAAGCTGCTTAGAGAGGAGCACTGTAGAAAAGTAGCAGGTGAAAAGGAAACAAACAGGTTACACCTGGAAGGTCCTCGAGGTGGGCTCCCATCAGACATGGGATCTCTACAGAAACAAGAGGCCAAATTAGACCCAAATTATTGGATTACCATCCCCCGTTTAGGAATTCAAAACGTGCACCAAGATGAGATCAAGTAAAAAAAACAACATACTTTCACTAAACAAATGCTTCAATCTCTTCTTTACACGTCAGTTCAGATGGTTTTGCTGCTTTGCACATTAACTGGCATTTGAGCTGCTTTGGCTTCCTGATTTGCGTGACTTCAACACTCAGCACGCGAAACCAAAGCCTTTCACTGGTCCGCTAGGGTCAGAGACACGTAAAGTTCGTGGCCACACAGTGAGTGCAAGGGTCGTGCGGACATCTGCGTGCCATTTATGGATTTGGTGACGTGCATGTATGAGCTTTATGTTACGACGAACCAGCTGCACATGCGTCACAGGTGAGTACGAGGGAGCGACCGCTCATTCAGTCCTCTCCAACCGTCCACGTCTGCATCTTCCCTCAGCATGTGCATAAGCATACATTATTAAATTGTCTCCAGGGGGTAAATGAGACTCTTCTTCATCCTGGCGTTGTTCCCGCTGGTGCAGGGTCCGCTCTTCGGCAAAGGTTTCTCCATTTGGTTCTGTCCGAGGCGTCCTCAGGTGATGCGTTGACGGTCTTAATGTCTTCCTTGATTTTGTCCATCCGCCGTTTCTTCAGTCTGCCTCGAGGCCGGCGTCCTTCTGGGTCGATCCTCATATCCGTTTTTGCTACAGAGTTCTCATTGCTTCCAATCACATGTCCGTACCACCTCAGGCTCAAGCATCTGCAGTAAATGAGATTGTAAACCTATAAATTAATGAACATACCACAGTCAGTTCATTCGAATTTTAAGCTGCAATCCAACAGTTTGACAGCGAGCCCACACTCGGCACTTGCTCCAGACTATGTGCAGTCTGTGAGCCGTTTGCTGTGTAGCAACAGATGCGTCGGTG